CCCCAAAACCCCAAAACCCCAAAACCCCAAAACCCCAAAACCCCGATTTTCGAAATTAAATTGACAATATTTTTATACAATTCATAATGGGGTGTGGGTCATCAACTACTGGAGAAGAGAAAGCTAAAGTTCAAAGAAACGTGCCAAATGTCAGCAATCCAAGGTAAGTTATTGATATTTACTAATGTAGGGGAAATAATCAGAACCCAAGTTCGAACGTTGAAAGATCATCTAATGTTGAAAGGCAGAGAGAGTTAGATAATAATCCAAACTTCTTTTATAACGAAGATCTGTTTGTTCAGCAGGCCATGAGGCAGAGCTTATTGGATGATCAACAAAATCCTCAAAATGTAAATGAAGAAGAAGAGTTCAATAATATGGTAAAAGAGACAATTGTTGTTTCGAAGAAAGAATATGAGGATATTGATAGGAAGAAAAATGAGGAAGAAATTGAGAGGATCAAAAATGATCCTGCTGCACTGAACAAGAAGATAAAGAATATTTTCTCTAGCAATAATGCATTCAAAAATGCGAAAAAGCTACCACCACTTGAGTTTGTGGGAAAGGGAAGAGGATCGAATCCTCTAAAGAAAGACTTACAATCACTAAAGGCTCCTATACTAAATAATCAATCCCAACAGTTAGATTTAAATAAAGGAGATGTCCGTGGGACTTTACTAAGCATGCCAAATAGCACGAGTGAGGTAGATATAAATGAAGATACTAATTTCCAAGGAAATATTTCGAAACCTTCATATAATCCCAATCTTCTCAAAGACGAAAAGAATAAGAACAAAGAAAATCTAATATCTTTGGAAAGTAAAGAATACGAGCAATCTGAATTGAAGCAATATGCACAAGATGAGTTTAACAAATCGAAAGGAAAAGCTCATGAGCTAAATTCATTGATCCACGAATTAAATGATGAAGCTCCTATGAAATATCAAAGAAAGAAGGAGCCAAGTAGACAGGTTGAGTATAACGAGACTACAATGGATCATCCAAAACCAGAAGAGAAGTTGATATCGAATGATAGCTTTGACGATTTAATGGATGAGTTTGATCCAAATGAAAAAGAAGATAAGCCTCCAGGAATGGCTCAGATACAATTTGTGAACAAGCAAACACATGAAGATGAATTTGAATTCTAGTACAAACTCTATTCATAACTAATAACCTTATTTCTAGAATTTTGGCCACCAGTTCACCTACATAAGATTCAGATAATTTTCAATACTTATTTCACATGTTGGGGTTTTGGGGTTTTGGGGTTTTGGGGTTTTGGGGTTTTGGGG